GTATATCAATAACAAATGGGTTGAAAATGTTGGTTATTTCCCTCTCGAGTCCACATCTGATAGCATCTATCAGCCCTGTTTGATCTCAGAATACCGGGAACGCAGCCATGGGCAGCTCCATCCCACTAATACAGTGCGACTTTGAAGGTGATATAGTGCCGCGATACCGTAGGCGGCCAAGGGATAAAATCCCGGACCGATATCCGTCTAGGCGAACATTCCAGCTTGATCCTACTACCAAACCTTTACATACGTAAAGATAGGTCATCCGTCAATCGCTTTGGCCGATAAGTAGTCGTGCAGTACATGACTCAGTCAGACTAATTTCGAAAATTCCTATAGAGCAGTATTAAGACTTCTTGGAAATCGAACATTCATTAAAAAATAAATATAAAAGGAAGGCTTGATAAAGTTTAGATCGTAGTCAAAGTCAGCAGCTACGTATCAATAGGCTAAGGAAGGCCTCACTATATAAGAAAGATTACATACAATTGAATTCAAGAGCCCTGTGAAGCGATCCGTCATCTCTCAAAATACGAAAGCTAGGACAACCCGACAGAGCTCAGGACGAGGAACAGGCCGAGAAACCATCATATGCTTTAGAGCTCGAAACAACGGAGACTTTCAGGCCTCTTGAACAGCTTGATTGGTAACGGCTTCGTATGAATGGAGAGAAAAAGTGCTTCGGACCTGGTCCAGGCACCGCATATCTTTCTTCCATCTCGATACGTGTCGGAAAGTGGTTGAGCTTCTGACTGAAAGTTGAGAGCATGGCGTATCCCGCAATGTTCAACGTCTAGCAATTGGCTTTCACGTTATCAACTGTTACTCGCAAAACGCAGCTAGCATGTGGAGATTTTTCATAGTGATGGTGAATGCTTAGCTCCACCTGTCGGTAACATACTCTTCATGAACTTTTCAGAGTTCAAAGTGTTCCATCACGTTCTTTCTCTTTAGCACCATTCCTCTCCTTTCCATCACTTATTATCTTGCAAGTTCAACTCAGTGCTAACACTTCGTCTTCTTCCTCTTCGCTCATTCCCGCCCTCTTCCTCTCTCTCCTTCTCTTTCTCTCTCTCGGGGGATGTTCCCGCATCGATCCCTTCCAATCTCGTCTCGGCATGGTCGAAGGAGGGGTGGCTATCGTTAAATATCTACTATTCCTGTCTAATTTAGTACTATGGGTGAGTGATTTTTCATCTTTTCTATTGTTCGCTAGTCTCTTATTGGCTCGCTCTTTTCACCCGCCAATCTCCTGTCGCGAAGGTGAGCCATGTAGGCAAGAAATCAATCATTCGGGAGCTTGGTGGGTAGCTATAAGTCTTTTATTCAATTCCCAACTAGATAGGACCTACGACTACTTTCATACAGTTGTAATGCTTGGCGAAGAGAGATATAAAGCGGCCATTTGTCGGATGGCAATTGGATGGCGTGAGTGGAGATTGAGCAGCCGTCGCCTCTTCAGCGACTAGCATTTAGGGAATTCGTGCCTGTCACTTGACACATTTCACTCACTCAAGGCTAGAAACGTGGCAACTTTGTCACAACCTAACATTCCTAAGATGCACTTTTCATCTGTCCGAGTTTTCCGGATCGAGAAACTCAAGGGTCGTGGGTATAGACCTTTTGGAGGGTAAAAATCAAAAATTAGGTCACTGTTGATGAAGTGAATGAAAGATTCAAGGAAATTTTTGATATGGATATACCTGAAACAGCGAAAGATCCTACCTGCAGTTCTCAAGAAATTTTTTAAAGTAATTACCCCAGTTCGTCAGGTTTTGCCCTCTGAATTTCCGCTCGCAGTCAATAAAATAACTAAACAAATGATCTTTTTAAGCAGGTTTTCAAGAAACTCCTCGAAAAAGTTCTTTGCTGCCGAAGGCATTTCAAAAGTTCCAGTTGCACTCTTTTCATTCGTACCCATGAGTGCCAGGTAATTCCGTGACAGCTGAGCCAGTAACCGAATAGAACCTCTCCATCCAGCTGTCGGCTCGTCCCATTCGCAAAACAGAGGCTCTTCAGTGCTTGCCACACGAAGTCCGAATCGAATTTCGAGAGCTGTTTTCCACAGCGGCCAGCTGCTTGCCAGCACTTCTCCTCATGATGCATCAGACAGCATGAATAAGATCCAATCACTGACTTGTCAAAAATACGAGTTCTCAACCACAGCTAATCGAGCCCTTTCCTTTCTGTGAGGCTCAAAATCTGACCTAAAAGGGCTAACAACATCATTCGTTCAATGTGAGCCCATCTGCACACGCTCTATGAGATCCCAAGAGACCATCAACTGAAGAAATACAGCCGAGAGGCATCTCCATACATGCATATTGGGCCCATCTGTGAAGTATTCCCCATCTTAAGGACAGATTTTTTGAGCGCCTCAAAAGGAATTGTGAGACCCATCCGAGAAGTATCTCTCGATTTAAGGGCCGGTTTATCGAGAAATGTAAAAGTATTATAAAAAGAAAGAAGAAGTAATTTCTTTGATGGCTAGTGTGCCTTGAAAATTTCAATCATGTAGAAAACCGCTTTAACTTCTTCTGAAATAGTGCAATCGTCAATATCCTAAATTTAGTTTACTTTATTCATTCAGTTTTATATCTAAATTCAACAAATCTACATGAGTAGTGCCTCAATTTTTTTTCTCCAAATCGCTCAACAAGGCTTATTTGGCAGACACACAGCTCTTGTCTTGCAGTCCATTCAGATTTGCATATACGACGAAACGCCTAGCACATTTCTCGTGGGAAAACGACTCCTGAAATGGGACAAATCCCTACCCGTTACCCTTCGAATTTATCCTAATTTGTTGCCTGAAGGGGTACACGACTCGAGCGGCTCTGAGCCGTGTCAAATTGTGCTCAGATTTCGCACTGGCAAGTGAGAATGCCACCCATATGGATTGAACAACAATTAGATCCAATGTATACTATAGTAAGATCCCCTACCTGTACCAAAGGCATCTCTAAAGTTCAGGATGTTGACTGAAGATGACCAGCACATCGACAAATGCTTGACATGCTTTTTAAAAACTCTTCTCCCTAGGAATTCTTATGTCACGTTGATCTAAGACGACATACTTCCTGGAAACGCCACGCACTTGTTTCCCACTCAGAATCATATGTTTCTTGGGATATTTGAGTAGGTCTTTTGCCTGCGTAAAGAGCTAAACAGCCATTCGATGTAATGTCACATTCAGCCGGCATCCTTATCCCAGAGATACCTCTCGTACAGTTGGATCCAACTGATCTGGGATCCAATTCTTAGCCAAAAGCAAAAAAAATTGAGAGCAAACTCGCTCTAGGAATCCCCCCCCCCNCCCCCCCCCCCTCCCCCCGCGTTTAAAGGAAAGAACTTGCAAAATTTACAGTATATCAAGGTTTGAATATAACCATTGCAATCAATTGCAACCAAGTGAAAATACTTTTCAATATAGAGGAGCGAAAAAATAATTATAGAAGCAAATGGAATTCAAATTCAAGCAATTTTACTGGGGTGTTCAAAAATCCTCCATCTTTTTTTCCTCCTATTTGTTATAATAATATGAGCTATTTCAATTACGTACGTCTCAAAAAGCATCTCGCTAATCAACTCCATCATTCTGGATGCGCCCCCGCATTCGACTTCCATTCAGAATCGTAGTGGCGTATTGTATGCGTATATGGCCTATATCATGACTTGCGGTGGCCAGCCGATGTACAAATCAGTGCTTTTATCCTTCCGGACAAGTCTGGTACCAATTCACCGACCCCGGAGGGATGGAAGGCTCGGTTGGCCTAGGCGGATATCCATCCACGATTCGAGCCCATGACCATGAGTGCCACCTGTCGTTCCATCACCTCCGACCCCTCAATTAAATGAGACAATGAATTCTGGAACAAAGGTCTTTTAGACAGAAAAGGACCATCGATATTACAATGTAATTGAACATGGGAAATTTTGTTCCCATGGGACAACTGGGTGAACTCCTATCGAGGATGGCGTAAACACAAATATTTCAAGAACCACCTATAATTGGATTTTGAAAACAGCTACTCCACAGAGACTGTCTGAGGGCCTAATCAAATTCAACTACTCTATAAGCGGCCACATATGGATTTCGAGAACTTTCAGAAGAGAAGTTCGTCTGAAAACTCCGTCAGTAGATGATAGTTCTTTTACCTACCTGCCATCGGGAAGATACCGATGGCTTTGATAATTGAATATCTCATCTACTAATATACTACCAGTGATCACTTATCCTGGACGGAGTGTAGAACGCTCGCCTAACCTAAAAAAGCCTCCCATCTCTACTAGGTGATTAAATGGCTTTATAATCTTTACTCAATGCCACTTTCTCCCAACGGAAGCTAAACTCTTTTACCAATAAAATCGACTTCATACCCAAAACTCCTCTCGAATGAACTTTTTCTCGACACAACTGGATTCAAGTCAGTACTTGGAATCTTTCCCAATCAACTTCCCTCGTACTTCTTCTCTCGCTCTTCCTCTTAAGCCCAGATATTTCCATTCTGTACAAATTGTACCGTTAAAGCTGCTTCCCCAAAACAGCGAACTAAGGGATGACCAAAGCTGGCGCACCCCCCATCTGAAAGTTTTTCCTTTCCAACATGCACTGCACCAAAGATGATCTAGAGAAGTTCTCAAAAGACCCGTCTTCAAGTTAAGAGTAACTTCTCTAAACTCTTAGCCAAATTTTCAAATCCTAATAGAAAAACTGGAAACTATGCGGAAATTCGGTTAAATTTGTACGTATTCTTACCCTGAAGTTTTTGTTAAAGTTTCTTTTACCTATCTATCTAGTGTTTTAATGCACTTTTCCAGAGTTTTTGCCCCATAACTCCTACAATTTTCTAGTCTTCAATTCCTTGACATTTTCTTCATCTAGCCAATTTTTTAATGGTGTATTAGCTCGTGCGATTCTGGTCTCACTGAGTGTGATAAGAAATTGAGGTTGTCCAGTCAAGCTACGTTCAATAACGCAAATCACTGATGTCCCCATGGGGATTCCGGTAAAAAGTTCAAAGCTTTTCCAGGCAAATTAGCCTTCGACAGGCAGCTGCTGGTACCTTTCTTTGATTCGATTTGTTTCAGACTGGCGGTTTGGGGCTCATCATTCTTGGCTCAGTTCTACAGTTGAAGTTCGTCGGAGTGCTTGACATATTAGGTGATGAACGGTGAGTAACAACCTTAAAGTTTTCTTTTTGACGGATTTAACACATGAAATCGATTCCGCAAAAAGCTCAACAATTTATCGACTAAGTAAAAATAAGAAGGCCACTTTCGCTCCAGCTTACAGTCTCTGTTTCCCGGGTTTGTCGGCACAGTACTAACTCTTTGCCTCTTAGCGCCCTCATTTCTTTTCCATCGAATTTTTTTGATCAAACCAAAAATGGGTTTATGGTGATCATCAGCGAGATGATCTAATGAACAATGCTTTACGTAAAAAAAATAGCCAGTACTTTAAGGGATTAGCGAAAATGCATATTTAACAAAAATATTGATTAATCGCGAGTTCAAATTATTGGCAGAAGTGTCTGTCCCTACATGATGTTGGTCTGCTTCTTTGAATCATACTAACCAGTAAGACCCCGATGATATTGTAAGAAAAGACGAATTATTTTTTGCTAATCTCTAGATGTCAGAAGTACAGAAAAATCATAAATGTCCGTAGAAAAACATCTAGAGACAGCAAAGCCTATTCAGGCCCATATGCGATCGATTGAGAAAGAAATTCAAAGTTCTTTTTTCTCAAGTGAACGGAACTCTCAAAACTGTTAGCTTGAATAAGTCTTATCATTTCAAAAAAA